TAGTAGACCCGGGGTCTAGTACACAGCGCGTTAATATTGTAGCAAGGTAAATTCTAAAGTATATATGTTTATACATATTTGCATTTGTCCAGGTTTTTATAACCAGAATGACGTGGCGTGTACTGAAGTTGTATAAAGGATTTTTATTACATAACGAATAAAATTATTTGTATACAACAGTATGTCAATTATTCGACACACCTAGTATTGTGTAATGGTCCGCGGATATATAAAAGCAAAAGCTGCTTACTATACAGTACTCTAAAGAAATTTCAATCAATGTCGATATAGTATCTGAAAAATTTAATTGGTTAATCTGGGTGTCAAATTACTGATGCACTAAAATAAAGTCAACCCAATCTATGAATTTAATTAGTTGATCTTACTGTCAAATGATTGACGTATTATCTAGTCAAATTTAGGTACGTCAAAAATTTTGGGGTGATCTACAAATCTGCTAATATGTATACTTTATTTCATATTCTTCAGTTTATATTTAACTTTTTTATTTTTTTCACATTAAGTTTACATCAAATAGTCATTTTAATATTAATAAATGAATAATTTTTTTTTCAGAATTGCTATTTTAATATATTTATCAAAATTAGATTAACAAAAATTACAATATATTCAAAAATATAATTTCAAGCAAAATTAAATATAATTTTATTTGTGCGAGTCTGTTATAGTTCTTGATATTTTTTATATGAAAATTTGCTTGTGGGAAAGTTAATTTTTGTTTTGTGTTGCACTTTTAATTACTTTCATTTAATTGTTATTGCAAAAGATAATTCAATTGAAAATTGTCTTCTTACTAATTTAAATGGAAGATCAGTATCTGATAGTATCAATTTTATTCAAGGTAAAAAATTCTTTTTCCTTGATTAACTCCTGTTAAGATTTAAGAAATCTATGACAATTTTACAATTAGGCATATACTATTACATAATCCTTCTAAAGGATTAAAGATTATATAAAAGAATAATAGGTACATCTTCTTTTAGTACAAGATGATAAGATGACATTCCACTTAGTGTTAAAGTATTTAGAAATTTAATAGAATAAGACTTAATTTTTATCCTGAACTGAATCAGCAAAATAATAATTAAATTCCTTACCAGGAATTTGTTCAAATATTTGTTTATTAATATATTCAACATCAACACTTTTAGTTGCAAGAATTGCCTATTTTTAATAAAGTCTTATTTTGATAGTTTATAGTAATATTAGTAAAGATCTCTGATATTAAATTATCAAGATTTTTACTATTAACTAATCAATTAATTGATTTTGATTTGGAACACTTATTTTGTTCTTTTATGGCACCAAGAAGCTGTTAGAGAACGAACTGAGTTCAGAGAAGTTTTACAGATGTGCTTAATTAATTTTCCTAATTAATTTTCTTTAAATAGTGAATTATAAACTACAGTTTAATGGGAGCTTGTTTCTGTGCAATTAAATTTAGCTCATAAAAAATTAGAGACGCAAACTACAACTAAATTTATTTTTTTAAAAAAATACAGTCAGCTATAGTTTTACATTACAATTTATATTGACTGAAATTCCAAATTTCTCAATAATTCATTATATTAGATGTGAAAAGGCTTTGAATTGTTATAACAAGCATCAAAAAAAAATAGTAAAATTATTAAACTTAAAGGCGTAATTGTGAATCAGTTATAATTTAAAGTTAAAAGGGAATTTAAGAAGTTATTTAGGGAAAGGAAAATCAATAGTACTTTTTTCTTTTGTTGCCTGACTTTAGTCTGGCTTATGGGCATGTAGAGTTGAAGCCGCAGTATAACACTACCCATAATAGTAAAATGAATAAACTACAGTTTATTTATATGGTAATTCACAGCTCACATCTTTAGTTGAATTAATTTTTTTTAAATCCAATTGGTAAGTTCAATTTAGCAAATTAATTCTTTTTAAAAAAATTTTTTATTTAGGCTGTTAATAGAAATAATATAAAATTGCAATGTGGGTATTGAATTGTTTTTACATATTATCTCTTGTCTCTCCAACTATACTATTAACATACGTACAATTTTATATTTACAGTTATTTTACAGCATTAATATATTGAAATTTATAGAATAGAAGAGACATAAATTGCAACTGGCTTCTTAAAAATCACAAGAGATATTCACTGAATATAAATTTATTAATAAATCTATTGAATATTCACTGAACTTTATAAATAAATTTATATTCAGTGAATAATGGGTCACATCTCTTCCTGAAGTGAATCTTCAATGATTACAAGATTTTACAGACCAATGAGCCCGCCAGGTTATGTTCTAATATCACTTTCAATCAATTAAGTTAAAATTGATTATATAGATTGAACTTTAATTTTATTATTTTTGGAAGTATATTATTCTTGTTAATTGAAATTTTCAATTTGTAGTCGAAATAAAAATTTTATTACAATCCAGTTAATCTAATATTGTATAAGTAGATTTATCTTTCTAGATTGCAAAAAAAAAAAATTAGATAGTTCAATTAGGTATAGTAACTAAAACAAAAAAGTAAATGTATCACATAAACCTGAAGTGAGAATGAGAAAGATGAAAAATCATTTTTCTCATAATATATATCTTCAAAATTCACATCTGTAGTATTTCTTGCTTGTTCAAAAGCCTGAAAGAGCAGAATAGATGAGATATACTCTGAGAAACACAACACAAAAGGCAATAAATATAGTTACATAAAGCTGCGACAACAAAAATGAAAGAGGTGCATTTTGATCTTGAAAATTACTGGTACAAGTTGAATTATTTTTTGTTTGTCCAGAGGTCTATATAATGAAAAAGAGATATGCAAAAAGGTTATCAGATAGTTTAATTAGTGTGAAATATGCAAATAAAACAGCAATTATATTACTTGAACCTGAGACGAAAATAATAGGGATTGAAAAGCATTTATCATGTAAAATGCATCTTTGTAATATGTATCAGCTATATTTATTGCTCATTCAGAAGCTTAAAAAAGGTGAGATATAAAGATATACTCTAAAAAATACAACACATAAGTGATAAATACAGTATATGTACCTGGAACTGTGGCGGCAAATATAAAAGAGAAGCATTAGGTCATAAAAATTACTGGCACAAGTTGGATCGCTTATTGTTTGTTCATAGCCCTAAATAATAAAGACAAGGTAGATAATTTAAGTTTCTAAAAGGCAGGATATAAATAGATGCATGCTGGGAAATACAACACAACAAATAATTTATATTACTTGAAACTGCAGTAATGAAGAAGAAGTACTTAGATTATTAAAATTACTGATACAAGTCAGATCATTTGTTGTTTATTCAAAGGCCTAAATAATGAAGGCAAAATATAGTATAAATTTTGAGTTTAGTTTCTATACGTTTTTGTACAATTAAATGGCAAATATTATAAAGCAGTGTTAAAATATTCATGTGAGTATAAGGTAATCGTACCTAATTCCATAAATTATTCCTAATTCTGTGGATAACTTATTCTAACTTTTTATAGCCTTATTGTTAGCTAAATATTTGTAATATATATATTAAAGTATATTACATGCCATATATAAATATTCATAAGACTATTAGTGAACAAATTTTTTTCTCACGAATCGATTTTATCTTTATTTTCAAATTTATTGTCTCACAAAATTTAAAAACCAAACTTTTATTACATTAAAATTTTAACAAAACTGATAAAAAAAACAAAAAAAAACAAAAAGTTATAAAATTCTAAGTAGTAATGGAACTTACCGAAAATATCAAACCTGAAAAACATGCATTTTTTATTTAAGATTCTTTATAAAACCTTTATTAAAAATTTTCGTCAATTTAGCATGCAAATTTATATTAAATCAAAATTTACCCGAATCAGCCAGTCAACACGATTGTGTATGAATTTGAATCTCTTAAAAAAATTTTCTTGTTTTTGTTGTTTTTTTGTGTTTTTTGTTGTGTTTACAACACAAATTTTATTTTACTTGTGCCTGCACAAACATAATATGAATCGAGTAATATCAGCAAAAAAATTAACAAAAAAGGATACAAACTCCCGTCAAACTTCTATTCAAGTGGCCTTAAATTTTCTTGAAACACAAAAAAAAACTAGTTCAGCTCCACCCTTAAGTGTTTGTCAAGTTGCTTCAAATTATGGAGTAGCTGAACAAACACTATGTGATGCTATAGCCAAAGGTGTACCAAAATGCTCAGGTTCTTCTACCTTACTTACACCTGAAGAAGAAAATAAGTTAGTAGAGTATTGCTTAAATATGCAAAGTCTAGGGTTCGGACTGACTAAAGAGGCTGTTAATATAATGGTTGTACAAATGCTTTCCACAAAAAATAAAAAAAATTCAACTAAAAATGGGCCTAGTAACAAATGGTGGAAACGATTTATATGCGATTATCTATAAATTTCTTTTCGTGTACCTCAAGAGCTTACTAAAGCATGAGCTGCCAAGACAAATCTAATAGTTATTCAAAATCATTTTGCAACACTTGAAAAACTTATTTATGAAAACTGGCTTACATCTGACAGAATTTGGAACATGGATGAAAGTGGGTTTAATATATCTCCATGATTGGCAAAAGTAATAGCTCAAAAAGGCAGTCGTCAAGTTTACAAAACTGCAGCTGGAAACTCAAAAGAGCATATATCCATTTGCCCTACTATTTCAGTAGCTGGAACATATATTCTCCCATTACTTATTTATAAGGGTGTTATAGTAATTGAAGGTTTATTAACAGGCATATCAGTTCCACCAGATACCATTGCTACATTTACTGAAACTGGATATATGCATGAAGATATTTTTAGAATGTATATAGAGCACTTTAGTAATTCAATTCTCCCTACTTGCCCTGTTTTACTTATGCTCGATGGAGCCACTAGCCATATAGATCTAACTAGTATTAAATATTGTCAAGAAAACAATATTTTTCTTTATGTACTACTATCAAATACTACTCATATACTTCAACTATCTGAGATTCCTTTTAAAAAACTTAAATCTGAATACAATAAAGCATCAGATCGTTATTGCATTAATAATAATAGTCTTGAAGTAGTTACAAAATATTTATTTGCTCAAATTTTTGGTGAAGCATTTCATAAAATGTATACACCAAACGCAATTAGACATGCATTCGCTGCAACTAGCACTTGGTCTCTGAATCCTAATATAATAAACTCTGAATGTTTAATGCCTTCATTAGCAACATTTCAACTAGTTATTTCTTCTCCAAAACCAAACTCATAAACATAATACAAGAATTAATAGACTTACACAGCTTGAAAATAAAAATAAAAATTTGCGTGAATATATTCAACAATTAGAGCATCCTGGGACAACTTCTTTGGCTTTGATTATGAACTATCCACAACCACAGCAACAACCTGCTGAGAAAAAACCCCAAGCCTGACCCAAGACATTTAAATTTGAAACTCTCGTGACTGCAGAATCGATTATCAAAGAACTGGAAGAAAAAGAAAACTTGAAACAAAGAAAAATTGAAGATGCAAAAGTAAGAAAAGAATAGCAGATTCTTAATAAGGCGAAGAAACAGAGTAAAAAATAATGCCAAAAGTAAGTATATTGTTGAAGGACAATATATTTTAAATATCTTTACGTAGTACCTTGTTTTTAAAGAGCTCTTCAAACTGTGAATATAATAAATAAAAACAATTTTTTTTTATAAAATTAAAAAATCACATTATTAAATATGATTAAATTCTATATAATAAACCAGATTTTTTTTAAAATACTGTAAATCAACAATAATATATTTAAATATTTATTTATCATAAAGAATTTTCATAATCTAAAATTTTTGTAAAATATAAATAAACCCTTTTTAGTCAAATTACCTATTTAAATCTAATAAAAAAAATTTTTTTTTATAAAATTTTTAAATATGTATAATGTAATACTACGACTGGCTTTACTAATAAACTTTAATCAATTTATCAAATAAAAATTCAAGTTCATTATGTATTCACAGAATTAGGCCCGTGGCTTATAAATTATACGGGTTGTAACTTTTATTATTAAAAAAAATTTTTAGTATATAATATATAAAAAAATTTTACAGTTAAATAATAAATTGATTATATATTTTATATATTAAATTTTACAAATAAATACAATCTTTTGACAAACTTTTATATATGACAAAAAAATTCACAGAATTAGGTACTATTACCTTATGATGGAGACGATAAGTAAATATCAAAAATAGCATTAAAGTTTGTATCATCCATTTCAGTTTTTTTTTTCTTGTATTGTATTATTTAAAATGCACGAAATTCAATAGAGGTTAAAAAGCTAATAGAAGAAAGAGAAATATAAAATACTAACATCAAAACTAGTATAAGTTCTATTTTTTTACATATGTAATATTTCAATTTGTAATTTTGTGATCAACAAATATTTGCATTGATTGTGTAATAATCTACATACCTGTATACATACACTATATATAAGATTAGATTTTTCCTTAATTATATTATATTTACTAATATAACATTAATTGCTTAATTTTTTTCATGATATTTGTCATTTAAAGAACAATTATTATTTAAAATAACTATTCAAATTAATAATTATCTATTATTTAGTCTTATATTATTTTTTGAGTTTACTAATATGCACCAGTGGTGCCAACACCACATCAATTTTATCCAATAAAATTATTTATCTGTTGTATAACATAAAGATCAGGTGTAATATAAAAATTAATTGTTTTTTAAAAAAATCTTTATTTTGCTTATAAAACTATCTTTAAAGCTTTAATAAAAAAATTTCTTGCAAAATTTTGGTATAAACTATGCCTTTACTCTATCTCAAGCTTTAACGCTAACTTTAATACTAGTTAAATTTAATTTTTTTAATTTTGTTTTGATAATGATCTTTATGTTATACAACATACATAATATACTGGTATTGAACACCAGTGGTGCATTTTAGTAAGCTTGTTATTTTTTATATTATTTATACTAAGGCTATACAAATTTAATAAATCAGTTCTCATAACCCGGCCAGGTTAAAATTTTCAAAACTCTAAAAAAAAATTTCAAGTATACTTACTATCCAGGTAAGTTTTTTAAAAAAAATCTAAAAAAATTTTATATGTTTTTTATATATATAATTTTTTGAAAATAAAATTAAAAGCTGGGTTGCCAGATTATTTTTAAAAATTTTATGTTATGAGAACCGATTTATTAAGTTTGTATAGCCTAATTTAGTTTATGAGTATAAAAGAATATTTGAAAATAAGTAATTAAATTAAAAATAAACTATTCAAGCTCACTCAAGAATATTTATTGTTTAAATTTATTTTTTATAAGTATAAGCAATTCATACTATATAGATTTTAGTGTATATCAAAAATATTAATTAATTAATCTAAGTATTTAAAATAGGATATTTTATAAATGCATCATTTAATTTCTTTGATTAATTAAGTGCTTAAAATAAGTGATTTATATTTGCTATTTAATAATATAAATATAAAAAATTTTAATTAATTTAATATTTAAAATCATCTGTTCAAAGCTTTAATTTTATTTTAATATAATTATAAAGATTTAATTAATTTTAAGTGTTTAAAATAGGTAATTTATATTTATAATTTAATATTATTTAAACATAAATCTAAAAAATATTAATTAATTTAAATATTCTCAAACAAACTATTTAAATTTATAAATACTTATTTAATTTATTTGTATTAATTAGTATATGAATATAAAGAGCACTTATCAATTGAAGTATCTATATTTATTTACTATTTTATTCGCATTAATTTAAAAAAAATAATAAAGAATATTTATTAAAAATTTGAATTTTTGAATAAAATATGAAGTCAAGTATATAACAATATAATATCAGATAAAAGAAAATAATAATTTTGACAATTATACAAAAGAGATACTAACTTATTTAATCTAGATTCTATTAGTAATATTAAAAAAATTGAAGTAGAATTTGGCATTATATATTCTGTAATCTGATTAAAAAGTATATAAAAACTTGAAAAATAATAGTAAAATATAAAAATTTGTAAACTATTTATATTATTGCAATCAAGATTCTGTCTGGTTTAATCTTATAATTTTGGCAAAATTATTATTCATTATACTGTATTATTTATTAAATAAATAGGAAATAATTTATTTGTATTATAATTCATAATAAATATTTATTTTAATATTCTTGATAATAAAAATTTTTAAAAAATTTTTATCATTATAATTATTATACTAAAGTTTTTATCTTTTTTTTTTTTTTTAAAAAAAAATCATTAGGTAGTCATGCCTCGAATTTATTAGGCTAGATATTAGATACTATGACTAATATGAATTAAGAAGAAGGATTTGTATAGTAAGTGATAAACTCTAAATTTGTCAGCAGATAACATATGAGAACTATCTCTAAATGACAAATGCCACCTTCTAATTACCTAAATTACAATTCTTAGCTAACCCAGTTACTCTATAAGCACCTATGTTCGACCTGCTGAAGTAGGATTTAGCTCCTTATAGTTATGACCTGCACTTGGCCCAAAACTATACTTCAACAGATGGATTCTATGGCTGTCATAACTACCTTCTCTTCTTTCAGACTTCTTCCTCCTAAGCCCTTAAACCCTTATTCTTACATAAAAATAACAAAAATAACAATAAAATTAATAATAAAAATAATAATAGCTATAAAAATAACAATAAAGAAATAATAAAAATATCTATAAAGATATTATTAAAGATACTATTAAAGATACTATTAAAAAAACTATCAAAGATACAATTTAAAAAACCACTAAAGCTATCATTAATGATATATAAAAATATATTTTAAAATAATTATAGCAGAAATATTAATAGACAAAAGACCTTTTAACTTAATATCAAGTTAGTATTAAGAATTATAAATAAATTATATCTAGAATTTGCTCTAGAAAATATCTGATTGATATATTAAATTGGCTAAAAAATATATAAATAAAAATTCAAAAAAGCAACTTGACACTCACTTCTAATATTTATAATTTTAAAAATCTAATTTTTAGCACTAATATTAAAGATTATCTCAAAATTTTACTTTAATTTAAATATGTATAATTTAATTTCCACTTTACTTTTTTCATTTTTATAATATTTTTATTATCAAATAGATTTTGATAATTATATTTACATTTTAAAAAATAAAATTGTTTGAATTATATTCAATTTTAAATAAAAAAATACAAATTCAATTAATAAACTACTTATCAAATTTACTTCTTATTGTCATAGCTAATTCATATAATTTTAAATAATTATATTTATCTGCTTCTTAATTTTTTATTAATAACAATAACTAACTTTTATTCTATTGAAATTATTTATATTAAATATTTTATAATAAATAAGTACTTTATTTCATTATTTATACCTCTTTAATTTCAACTTTATATTTATATTATTTATAATTTTTATTTT